GGCTCGGGCCCCTGGTGGCTGTAGCAAGAAAGTCCAAGCAGCTTCTTCCCCCATGCCAAGCAGCAGCTTCTGCCTGGGCACTGTCACTGCTCAGCAAAGGGGTGGTCCAGAGCAAGCACAGGGCAGGCCAGGCTGTGCACATGAGTTCTGGCCAGTCTGTTCCAGGAAGGGCCAGTCCAGAGCTGGCATCGGGTGGGCTGCGTGCTGTTGGCAGTGGCAGGGAGGTGCCGCAGGGCACACAGGCTCCAGTATGTTGCTGGGGTGGGGAGTGATGCTCACCAGCCCATAGCAGCTCCCCAAAACTGCCTATGTGCTCCACAGGCCCAAATAATTGCCCGCCTCTGTTGTAGACTAACTACCCAGTAAATCAGAGATATATGTACCTTAAGCTTTCGTGAGCTCGGGCTCATGCAAGCTTATGTTATTCATATCTCCGGCTTAGTTAGACTGTAAGATGCAAATCTACCCTGCCTTCTGCCCAACTTCAGACTAATATGTCTAACTACCTTTTTCTGCCCATCTCTCTCACTGCCATTAATCTATTTGGGACACAGCTTTTTTAACAACAGAGATCATCAAAGTGCATTTGACACAGCATTTGATCATTGTCTGTTCAGAGTTGGCTGGTCACATGGCATTTGTTTTCTCTTCATTTTCAGCATAAGAAAAGAAGCAGAGAAGAACTACTCAGGTGGAAGCATGATTAACAACTTCCAGACAATCATGTATATCACACTACAGCCTACAAATGAACACTAATTTTATATTATTTTTCCACAGAAGTTATATTCTTAATCACCAATGAAACCATATGTGATCATATGCAAAAGCAGTCTACACCATCATGAAAAAGAGGAGATGGTACATGTTAATGCAATGCCATGTTATTCAAGCCATGAAACAATCCACATTAAAAGAGAAGAGAATGATCTATAAAAAAAATAAGATCACTTCCCATATTGCTCTCCCCTGCCATTCACAAATGATAGCCCTGCAAACTGTCAGAGAAACATATCATTAGACAGTGAAAACCTTGTACTTCCTCACAGATTATATCATTGTAAATGCAGTGCTTCACAGATCAAGTCACCCAGTGAGAAGGCAGGAGACGCCTGCACCTTCAGGCAAAGACGCTTCTCCAAATCAATTGGGGAGGGGGAAAAAAGGTAAAATTTGCAATATGCAATTGGAGGAAAAGTGATTTTGTATATTTAGAATGCTATTTATTTATAAGTGCATTATGCAATTACACAGGTACATTAATGCATTTGCTGTCTGTAGTTCCATCCCTTTGAAACTGATGAATTTTCAAACATCTGTGTAATAAAATTCTTGCGCTTACTCTCTTTATAAAAAATTAAATAAAAACTAGACTAAACATTCTAAATGTAACTAAAATGTGTATGAATCCAAGCAATGTGCTCCCAGCTAAGTCTTGTTTAGCATTTATTTACTGTTGCTCTGCAAGAAATTCCTAGACTACTAGCTTAAAAGTTTTCTTCCTTGAAGCTTTATGTTATTTCTACTTGAGCTTAACAGATTTCTACTTGAGCCTAACTGAATTACAACTGAACTGCAGGTTGGAAAGTTGTTGTGCACCTGGAACATGCACCATGCATCAGGCATTAAATATTTAGTTCATCATTAGCTTACTGTGCAACCTCATAAACCTCATTTATATACCAGATTTAACCTCATTCTTATTTTGCTTCTCTTTTTAAACGAGTGGGGGAAAATTTAATGTAATTCATGTTTGCAAAAAGCTTTGAAAAATCCTATGTGCTGTAAAGCGTAATGCTACACTGTGTACATCACTGTTCTGCTTCTCCTTTTAAAATACATGGGGAAATGTAGAAAGACTCCATTTATGTTTGCAAAAAGCTTTGAAAAATAATATCTGCTCTAAAGTAAAATGCTACTGTGTACATTCATATGCAGCATTTTTAGGCTATGTCCATTAACTGTGCTGTGAAATCTTACAAATAGATATATTTTAAAATATCTGCATATGAAAGAAATCCCTATTCAGTTCACCCTATAAAAAACTACTTACTGAAGAAATGCGCTGCAAGTGAGATGTTGTGACCGGTGGGTGTAATTTAGTAAGGGCACAAATGAACTCAAATGAACAACTCCATTTCTGAGGTCGTTGTTTATATTTTACTCAGCTTTTATTCCATGGAAGTTTGATGAGTAACAACCTGACAGAAATAATAAGAGTTTGGCTATTTTTCACTTGGATGTAGAACTGCATCTTCTACGATGCAATTGCTTGTGGTCTGAACAATCATTTCTTACATTCTTACTACATAATAAAACTCTGCCTTCCTCATTGCCTTTATTTCAGGAAGGAATGATAATCTCATCATATGTCCTAATCTTATATGATATGGTAAGGTGCATGTAGTGACAACTAACATTTCAGCAAACCTTTGTTAGACTCACATTTCTGTGCCAAAATATTTGGTAAAGCCTTATTATTTTTCTGGAACGTAGGCTGTTCCAAACTCTGATGCAGTACATCAGACCTTTCAATAATTCATTGCTTTTTGAGTTCTTTTCAAAGAATTCTTGTTTCAAAATTGACTTTCATTAACATTGGTATCCTCTCATTCTCAGGAGCTAGAAAATGAGTTATGAATATCACGACATACTCAACACATTCAGCACCCCCGGATATGACTACAATTACAGTGACAATTACAATGATGCTCCAAAGCCTTGCGGTAAAGAAGGTGTTCGGCACTTTGGCTCAGTGTTCCTGCCCATTCTGTATACTTTGGTGTTCCTGTCTGGCTTGGTGGGGAACTCTCTGGTTATTGTGGTCCTGTTCAAATACAAGAGACTGAAGAGTATGAGTGATGTTTACCTGCTCAACCTTGCAATCTCAGACTTGCTCTTCGTGTTCTCCCTTCCCTTCTGGTCCTATTATGCAGTGGACCAATGGATTTTTGGGGGCAGTTGGTGTAAAATTATTTCTTGGATCTATCTGGTTGGCTTTTACAGTGGCATCTTTTTTATTATGCTCATGAGCATAGACAGATACCTGGCCATAGTTCATGCTATTTTTGCCTTGAGAGCAAGGACTGTTACCTATGGCATTCTTACCAGTGCTATTGTATGGGTAGTAGCCATTTTAGCCTCAATTCCAGAACTGATATTTAATGACTCTGTAAATGAACATAACTATACTACCTGCAAACCAAAGTACCTTGCCAACTCTGTAACCTGGAAACTTTTCTCGTCTTTGGAAATCAACCTACTAGGGCTCTTGGTCCCCTTAATAGTTATGGGCTTTTGTTATTCGATGATAATTGGGACTTTACAGCGTTGTAGAAATGAGAAAAAGAATAAGGCCGTGAAGATGATCTTTACTGTTATGGTTGTGTTTTTTATCTTTTGGACCCCTTTCAACATTGTGCTTCTCTTACAGTCACTAGTAGACATAGGTGTTATTACAGGGTGTCAAATCAGCACTAATTTGGATTATGCAATGCAAGTGACTGAAACCTTAAGCTTTTTCCATTGCTGTGTCAATCCAGTTATATATTTCTTTATGGGAGAAAAATTCAAGAAGTACATTCACCTGCTTTTTAAGAGCTGGTCCTTAACTGGAAAGCTTTGTAAACGCTGTGGATTTCACATTACTTACCACACCGAGTCTTCCAGTTCGTTCCACACACAATCTACTGGCGATCAAGATGCTCTGTAAGATACGTCAGACCCACTACCACACTTATGGTAGGCCAGCTCCCACAGGTACAAGAAAACAAAAAACTGACAAACATTAGACCATTAAGAGGTCTTTCACTTAAGCTGAGCAGATACACATTTAAAAATAAGCAAGTGTCTTAAAGCTTTGACTTCTGCCTTTAGATTTTATGAATGTAATGAAAGAAAGGGTGAATGTCTGCGAAGGAAAACCTATCAGGAAACTTTGGAAATGTAAGCTTAATTTCAAACTATAATAAATCAGTGCCAACTAGCAGCAACAGCTGTCTCTATGGTGCTACATTATGCTTTCCCTCCACCCCCACCCCCCATCAGCACCATGACAAGGCTCTGCTTGGAAGATCAGGGGATCCTTTAGCCATCACCAAATATTTTAGAAATCTTCTGAGCATATCGGAGAATAAAGATCATCTGTTACCATATTTGAGGTGCCAGGCCTAATCTAGTCATTTTACTTGCACTGTATCTGCTAGACCAGATTCTTAAGGGCATAATTAAGAAGCATACCTTGCCCTTGAGTATTTCACTGACAATAAATACATTCTTTGGCATTAATAAAACTGACATGATGCATATTCAAGAGGGCGACATTCACCAAGACCTGCATCATACATTATATTTTACTATATATGTATATACAAAGATGTATGCATTGCCTTTTTAAAAGAATCCACTATTGTGCTATGTAGAGCAGCAGTTTTATATTATTACTATCGTGAATGCTAGTAGAAATATTTTTAAATAAAAATCATTTGAAAAAAATCCTACTGTGGATCCTGTATGAATCATTTGAAACAGTTTGTTTGCAGTCATGTTTTTCAAGTGAAAATGCCTTTTTTTAAATATATTTTAAAACAAAACAAAAAACCCACTAGGACTAAAGCTTTTGAGCTTTTGTAATAGAGCAAAAGTTCAAATAGTAAGATATCCTGTTATAAAATATCTGTTATAGAAATCAGCTTATATCTATCAGTTATGTTGGATAAAGAAAGACAATGAAAGGTGGCAACATTTAGATTAGCCACAACTACAAAACATTTTGAGGAATTCTGGAGACAGATATAAAATAAAACTAAATTAAATTAAAATTAAACATGAGCATAGGCCAATGTGATGAGAAATGAAAGTCAGTGCTAACAAATGTAAAACAAAGTGCATTGCAAGGAACCTTTAGTCCCCCTCTGCTGGAGGGTCAGGGGATCAACTAATTGTAACCACTTAGGAAGAAGATATTGCTCATTGTGCATGTGCAGTGGTGCCCAAAACAGCAAAGATGTGAAAATGCCGAAGGAAGAGATAGAGACAAAATATGAAAGATATTATAAAGTGATTACAGGAATCACCAGTATGCCCTCATTGGGAATATTATGCATAATGAGACCATCCGTATAAAATATTCTTGTCCATTAGTTACATTTTTCCCCTCAGAAAGGATGCAAATAATCATACTTCATTATCTTAGGAAACCACTCACTAATTTCTTTCCTAGCCTCTTTGTACTGTGGGCAAGTTATTTCTTAAACCTTTGTCTTCAGGTTTGTTGCATGATTTCTGCAGTGTCTGTTGCAGAACACTGCCAGAAATATGATACCCAGCTAGGAAGATGACCAAATCAATCCAGTTGTCCTATGCCCAAATAACAGCGATGGAGCATTGATATTACAGTCTGTGCTGTAAATGTACTAATCCATGTATCATTTGAATAATTAAACTAAACTGCAAGTCAACCTGCAGAATTATTCTCTCTGGACCAAACTCTGCAGTCCTTATAATATTTTCTTTTTCTTTAAAGAGAGCACATGCAGATATTTTGGAACCATTACAGACCTTGTTTATTGCCAGGAAATATTGTATATTTTCTGACCTTGGCAGTAAAACAGTGATTGGTGAAAACAATAGAATGCAAGCAGGTGGAAAAAGATTAGTAACAGTTATAGCATGAGCTTATGTATAACAAGCCTAAGACTTACCATCAAGGAACAGTTTTGTGCCAAGAGCCCCACTGGGAAGTGGTATTTATCTATTCAACAGTTGATACCCTGTTGAATAGATACATGGAAGGAAGCAGAGGCCACTCCCAAGCTGCAGAGGACAACATAATCTTTCATGTGAAACGAACAGCCCCTCCCCAGGCCCGCAACCCTCCGCCACATCAGCACAGATCTATTCAGAGGTAGTATAAAACCACTTTCTCCTGACAGGGCTGAGATACCACCCTACATGACAGCTGTCTCATAATTCACATCTCCTTAAGGGCACAACAGGAGGCAACTGATAC